ACTGCGGGGAACTCTGCAAAAAACGCATCTTCGCACGGGCAGCCCGTGCGTTGGCTATTTATTTTTAATGCATTCCAGCAAAAATACTTCGAAGCCACATGTGTTGGTGTTTGTTTGTGTATGTCTATGTATGTGTGTATGTGTGTGTGTGTCTGTGCGTATGCATATGAATGTGGTTTTGTGGGTGTATATATGTGTGTGTATTTATCCTAGACAACCTTTTCTGGACTCACATAATGGCGGAAGTTGGGAACTAGATTGCTTGTTCTATTGAAACAATTGAGCAAATTCTTAACGTAAGCACAGTTTACGGTAACAAAACTGGAAACTGCAAAGTGGCATGAACTCCACAGACTTTTTTTTCAGTATATTAAAAGTACCAATGAGCCCTGAAGTGAAGCGAGGTAAAGCAATTATACTGAGGTTTTGTGAAGGGCAGATGCTTACAGAGAAGTTGAAGTTGTCACGTTGCAACGAGTACTGCACAAAGCTATTTCCGTCAAAGTAATTTCTACAGTTACTGAACCATTATTATTTTTGTTGGTAAAAAATGTACAACAAAGCTCTTTGCAGTTCAAAAGTCCACTTTCAGCACTAATGCCCACTTTCAGTGATTCACAAATTGAATAATTTTACAAAGAACTGAGTGCTACTTTGTGACAGAAACAAACATGTGTGTGTACATACATACACCCAGACCAGATGCACATACACTCACAGACATGATTATTCTCGGAGATTTTGGTGCCAGACTCGGAAGCACAGAGCACAGAGCGTAAATCAGGATGTTCTGGCCTAGCAGAAAGTGAAAGAGGCTGAACCTCCTTTTTTTTCTTTGATTTTGGGCAGTGCTTTAAGCCCTTTTTTAAAAAAAAAAAAGAAAAATTCCTTCTCCAAAACACTTATCGGGAAGTGTTAAACTTAACAAGCCCCCGAAACGAAAATGGATGACGTCTTCAGAGGCGGATATGGTTGTTGCAATCACCACGTTCGAATTTCCGCTGCTTCTTTTCAACTGTTTTGCCATATCATTGCAGTAAAAGTTAGATTAAAAAAAAAAAAAACAGGAACGAATTGATGAAATTACTTTCACTACTGGGAAAAAAACCAGAATTCTGCGCCATTTAAACGAAGAACTACGATGTTTTTGCAAATACCAGTACTTGGGCACCCAATCGTCACAAGGCTAAAGATCTGGATCTTTAAATTTCAGATTCCTTCTTTGCGCAGTTGAAAATATCTGATAGAAGCACAAAAATACATACGGGCTAGATTTTTTTTATCGGGAATCTTGTGCGATCGCACATTGTGAAAAGCTGCGTGTTATTACAGAACCAAGCACAAGCGCTTTTCTGTGCAGTTCACTGAATAGCTAATTCATTTTCAAAAAACGATCGTTAAAAGGAATTGTTCAAACTTAATCGTGTGCGTATAAATATGTTAAGTTTGGACAATTTTCATTTATATATATATATATATATATATATATATATATATGGTTAAACTTGTACCTCAATGGTTATATTATCCACTTTTTGGTCAAAAATTTTCTTCTTTGTGTATTATATGAAAAACGTTAGAAATATGTATTTCTGCATACAAGTGTGGATGAGTTTATGCATGTGAATGTCATAACTGAATAAATGCAAATAACAGTGAGGTGGGATTTTGTGGATTTATCTTTGACCGTGTAGAGAGACAAAAGTATAAGGCGACCTTTAGGTCTTTCTGCGCTTTCCTATATGCTCCAAGACCAAATTGCACTAATATTATAGATAAAAAATCAGATGAAAAAGATAGCGTTATAGATAAAAAATTAAAGAAATTATAAACTGTACATTCCGACGTTAGTTTGCCGGGGATTTGGGATGAATGAATGAAACCAGCTCTCGCAGTTCACTTATCCTACGCTATCGCTTCAGATCCAAACTATGGCTTAGAAAAGAAGCAGGCTATGAGTTTGAAATTTCGAAATTATAAAGTTCATCGCCGTCCAGTTAGAAGTGACTGATGTGAAGTCAAGTTCCAGGTCTCAGTCTCACGCTAATATGCGTGCATAAATTAAATAGAACAAAATCAGCTTAAAATTTCGGTACTTTTCATGCGGTAAGTAAACGAGAAATCATAAAATGAAGAAATGCAACTGTCTTCGGCGTGTTTCTACCGGGTGCACTCAACATCTTGCCACAACAGTACTTTACCGCGCTTGCCTCCTGATCACTAGTACCATCCTTTCCAGACAAACAGCTCCGAGTATGCCCGCGGAAGAAAGGGTAAATAAGTGATTTCAGATTACTGAAACATGTTTAGTCTAGTCTTTGTTGTACTCGTTAACCGGCGACAAATGTACCAGGAATAAATGTAATGAAAAGGTGTACCTGATGTGGCATTTCAGCTTGTGTACTGGAAATCACGAGATTGTTGGTCGTTTGCGCAGGAAGCAGTAAATCGATGCATTCGTGATGATCCACACCCTCGTGCAAATCCACAGCTCGTGTAGCTGTTGGTGGAGACAATCCAGAGGTGACTGAAGATGTCATTCGCAATGAAATCTGTGTTCACGCGCACACGTCCATCATCTAAAGAGAGCCAGTTTCAGTAATGAGGGTTGTCTCACTGTGGCTGCCGTCAAGCCAATACTAGCAAAGCTAGCTTGTTATCTGGCCTTTGGTCAGTTGCCGGTTCCTCAGACTTATGGGCTCCTTAAGCACCCTTGCCCTCGCTCTGCTTCATTTATAGCTGGCCCTGTATATGCATGTTTCTCGCTCTCTGTGTATGCTTCTGTTTCAAAATGCTCATTTTCTGAATTATTTTCCTTGCTGCATGGAGGTAGCGCCGTTAATCCCGCGGGAATGCAAATAGGTGGTCGCTTCTCCTTCGGTTTCTCCCTCCCCCTCTGTCACTCCCAGTGAGCGTTTTTTTTTTTGGGAAATGCCCCTCACTATCTCCCGCACTGCTCGCTCATCCGCCTTTTAGCTCATTTAGCTATATCTTCATCACTGGGGACAGCAGCAGCAGCAACCGCAGCTGTACTGCTCAAACATTATTTATTTCCAGTGGCACTTTAGTCCAGGAAACTAGCAACACGCATCCAACAATATAATCCCGGTGGAATTCATTCGACGAATAATACATTACTAATGCTTGCATAGACGCACACGTGCTAGCATTTGCACAGTGTCATTGCTACGCTCACAGAATTCTATTAAATATTCTTCGCTATATAGAGCAGGAAAACTTTTTTTGGATCCAAATCTTTTTTTTTTCGAGACACAATCAATACGTTAGTTGCAAGAAAAAAACATAAAAAGGGTTTCTGGTTATCCTTGTGCGCCTAATAGCCAGTATGGGTCGGCTAATCGCTGAAATTGAAAGTTTGTTTTTGTATTCGGCTGCTTTACATAAACTTAATAAACTACAGGGATAAGCGGAATAGCTCTGCCACTAGACATAGATAAATACTGCCAGCGGCTTTGCTAACAGGCACAAATGAAGCCTTTGCCATTCGGCCTAAATAACGACACTCCGCACTGCACAAATTCTGGACACGTCGATGGCTTTGAATTGCCATAGCTGTTGTTATGTGACTGTTCCTATGCATCAATCAACAGATCATATATGGGTGAATTATCTTTGTGCACATGAAACTTTTAAAATTCCACTTTTTAGTTTTTCCTTTTAAAATGTGCAGTCAGCCTCAGAAGCACATTTAGAACTGCAAAAAGTTTGCTAGAAACGAAATTACTCGTTAAACAACGATGAAGACTGATATTTGTTATGCAAAAATAATTCAAATTCTCTTAAATCATTGTTTGTGAATCAAACATTTGTGAGGTTCGGTCACGCACTTCCAAAAATTTGTGAGGTTCGATTGCACATTTCATCTTACGTATTTCATAAACGGAACTACATTTTGCAATGGTACGGAACAATTGGGAACTGAACCCCATATTTACAATTCTGTAACTCTTCGAGTAGTGATGTTTAAAACATTGCACTCGATATTTGTGATTTACAACGAAAATTATGAAAAACTTTGCTGCCCATGGTCGAACCCATATACTTAGAGACTTTTTGTGCGCCTGTGCCGTATGTTCGGGCGCATAAAATGTTCAATTTGCATAACTACTGGTAACTTTGTGTCTCAAAAATCAAGCAAAAATTAAGCGAGCCAGAAGATTGGGATTTTACGAGGGCTTTACGTGTCCGCTTGTAATCCCAAATTTTTATAATTAGTTCCCACGAACGCTCACGTCTTTCATGCAACCATGGCAAAATTCAGGTAGCAAAGCTATTGGCATCCTTCTAATTTGAGAACTAGACTGAGTAGAAAGTTCTACTTCTCAGAGATGTTTGTTGTCCATGTGCTGATCCACAAGTGCAGAATCAGTTTTTACGTACATTTAAAAGTCGCACATGGGCAAAGAAATTTCAGGTAGGCGAATGGTCAGCATCTTTTTTTTGCCGACATGCTAAAAAGCTGAAATTTCATGAAGCTTCACGTCGAAACCACCGGCTGTTCTGAACATGAAACACATCCAATGGCTCTTCTAAACATGAAACAAAGATCAGTGATGGGAACAATTTCAAAAGGAGTACACATATCAAACTGTGAAGCAATGAACTTTCTTACTGCTATACGAAACCGTGCTGATACGCTTTACCCTCCCGACAAGCTTGTTGTGTGCTGCTAATTATTTTTCTTGAAAAGTAAAGTTTTGGTGTTGTATTTAACCCAGGCTGGAACGCACCGGACGGGCCCGTGCGATCATGCGTTTTTGCACAGGACTTGA